ATAAAGGATACTGAAAAATTATAATTGTGTGGATTTTATTCCTCATTCCACCTCTTCCCCGTCCAGATTTCTTATTTTTTTAATTGAACATACGTTACTTATATAATTTGTTTTTACTGAGAAATAATGGGCATAAAGTGTACCATTTCGAAGTGTAGAGTTCAGTGGCTTGCGGTATATTCACTCTATGGTGCGGCTGTCACCACTATGTAATTTTAGAACATTTCTGTCATCTCAAAAGAAACCTTTACCTGTTAGCCATCAGGCCCAATTCTTCCATCTCCCCAGCCCCTGCAACTACTAATCTACCTTCTGTCTCTGTGAATTTGCCTATTCTGGACATTTTATATAAGTGGAATCACACAGTGTGTGGCCTTTTGTGTCTGGCTTCTTTCACATAGTGTGTTTTCCTGGTTCGCCCATATTGGAGCATGTGATAGGACTTTATTCCTTTGTATGGCTGAATTCCCTTGCATGAATATACGACTTTTGTTTGTTTATTTATTCATCAGTTGATCAACATTTCTACATTTCATTTTATATTTAAATCACTTTTTGTTTTAAGATTCGAGAAAATCAGGCTGTTATTTTTTTTCCCCTGTGCCTTAAGCATGTCCAGTTTAATTTTTTCTAGCAGTCTCTAAAACAGTAATAATATCCAAACTTCTCTTTGTAAGTGACTTTAACAGCAAAATCTTTATGGACCACGTGTCACCTTCCCTGTTGCCATCATAAAAAACTCACCAGAGTTGTTATTATTATTATTATTATTCTTTTAGAGATAAAGCCTTGCTTTGTCACCCAGGCCGGAGTGCAGTAGCATGATCATAGCTCTCTGCAGCCTTGAACTCCTGGGCTCAAGCGATCATCCTGCTTCAGCCTCCTGAGTTGCTGGGACTACAGATGCATGCCACCATGCCTGGCTAATTTTTTATTGAATTTTTATTCTTTGTAGAGACAGGGTCTCACTATGTTGCCTAGGCTGGTGTCTTACCAGCGTTAATAGGAAGAATGTTACTACTGTTGAGCTCTCAATAACATCCTGTTTAACTTTCTAATATCATAAATGAATAATTAATGAGGTTATGAGCAATGCTCTATTATCAGTGGCAACACTCTAAAAGGCCAGGCCTCAGACCGCAAGATGCTGCCTCACTGGGCTCTTAGCACTGAAGGTTGCACTGGCTTCACCAGGCTGGTGTATCCAACCTGTCTTAGCTGGATTCTCCAAATGGTGGTGGAGGACAGAGAGTGAGCAGGCTGAGAGGGGGCTGGGATTCTAAAGGAGCTGCCAGGGACCCCCGGGCTCCTCTCTCTGCAGGCACGGCTCACTCCTCCCTCTCCTCCTAGAACAGGCTCCTCTTGTGAGAACTGCTCTCAGGATCTGGGGTTACTCACTTCCTCCTTCCTACTTGTGGGAAAACACTCTATATCTGTTTTAAATTCTTGACCTTTTTACTGAGAGGTATTTGTGTTGTAATTAACAATTTGACATTTTAGTATTCCAAGTCCCTTAAAAAAAGGAAAAAAATAGTATATTCAGAGATAAGGCTGGAACTTTAAAGGAATTGTAAAATAATACATGTGGTGTTTTTTTTAATCTAGCAATGTCAGTCTTGAGCAATTAAGTTTTCTGTGGGATTGTGAGACTAACCAGAAGCATCTCACTATGAGATATCTCTCTTTTCTTTCTCTCGTCATCTCTCTCTTTCTCTCTCTCTTTCTCTAAATTAAAGGTAATTCAGAGAGGTAATTAGGAGGAAGAGGTTCTTTCCGCACCAGCTGGCTAAGACAGTTCCTTTTTTTCTTTCTTTCTTTTTTTTTTTTTT